AGGATGTATTCGACATGATTGATGATAATGTAGTTATACAACGTTATCAAAGTATGAGAACTCGAAAGGAACGCTTGTATTAATGTATGATTTTGCTAAATTAAATATTAGTATTTTATTTTATATGTTTCTTGATTTTTTTGATAATAATGTACATTAATTTATGTTCATTAGTTTCATTTCTCCATAACAAAGTATCAGCTTCCCTCATTTTAACAAATAATGTTTCAAAAAAAAAAATCGAGGCCAACCCCCGTGGGCCCCCCCACCCCTTCAACACTGGGACTCCCTTACTTCGACGAGCTGGCTCCGCCCCTGGTGGTGAGAGGTTGTGATTGAAGATGTCTTTCATTTACTGTGGATGCTAATGACGGTGAATGTTTAGGCAGTGTGTTTTGGAGGTGAACAAAACTCTGACAGGATCTGTTAGTATCTCTGGTTATGTGATTTGTGCGAAGAAGATGCACATCTCTGGTTGTGTGTCTATGTGTTATTGTGATGTATGGGGTAGTGGTGGTGCATTTATGGTTGTTCGTGTTTGTGCGATTGGTTGGATGTGGAGGTTGTGGTATGGTGGAGGAGGAGCTGACGATGAATTTGAGGAGGTGATGGATGTGGTTATTGGTGGTGGTGGTGGTGGGGCAGAGTGGAGTGGAGTGGAGTGTAGTGGGGTGGGATGAAGAGCGTACATGACCAATTGTTTAGGTAGTTATGACCGAAAAAATAAAGAACTTTAGATCAATAAATAATTTGTGACTTAATAAAATGTGTGATTTGCGATTAAATTTATAATTGCGACTCACAATTTATTTTGTGACTATAACTTGTGTGCTTTGCTACTAACATGTGACTTTGACCATAAATTGTGTGTGATTGTGAATGTGGCCTCATTACATAAATTATAAGTCACGGAATTTTATCAGAGGTTACAAAATGTGATCACCTAATTTTGAAAACAAATCCACAAGTTTTTTTATTATTTTTAAAAGTGTATCTTCAAACCTATGTAATTATGTAATTTTTTGTACAAGAAAACCTACTGTTTGATCTAGACTACAAAACAAGGGCCTTTGAGGCCCAAGTAAAAAGTAGATAGCATAGCCTAAAATCAGCTAGCCTGTGAGAATTAGAATGTGACCCGAATTCTAATTAGAAGACTGTTTAGAAATTTTATTTTGGAATTCTAGTTGAAATTAAATTTGGGAGTTCAATTGAGAGTTTAGAATTTGTGTCGGATTTGAAGAAAATTTGGAGGAGTCCAAGTTATAATAGAAGAGGAAGAAATCTTGCAAGGAGAAGGAAAGTCGAACTAGTGCTTGCTACGCGCCTTGATCCCCCTCGAGCGCTCAAGACAGTAGTCTTAACGCTCGCTTACCGCAAGGTGGTCGCTAGAGCCGTTGGCCACTGCTCGACTGCTACTAGACCACCACTCAAGCGACGGTCTTATCATGGAATGAACAGTTCGCGATTTTGGTCTGTTTTTTAAATCATATTTTATCCTAAACAATCCATTATTGTTTAATCTCGTTATAGTTGAACTCCACCACATTATAGACTCTTCTTTACACTACAAATATGAGAAGTAAACCTCTTGAAAAATCATTCTCATATTCTACACAATTTATAACCTCCCATTAAAGGAGAAAATCGTTGCTGCATTATGGTTGAAATTGGAATAATTATGCATAACGAAAAATCTAACCTACAAATTACATTTTGAAGCAGTGATTGTATTCTTAT